TTTTTTAAGATTTTATTTATTTATTTATTTATTCATTCATTCATTCATTCATTCATTCATCTGAGAGAGAGAGAGCATGAACAGGAGGAGGAGCAGAGGGGAAGGAAAATGGAGGGGGGAAAGAATCTCAAGCAGCCTCCAAGCTGAGCGCGGAGCCCAAGGCAGGGCTTGATCCCAGGACTCTGAGACCATGATCTCAGTGGAAACCAAGAGTTGGACACCCAACCAACTGAGCCAACGAGTCACCCCTAAAATTTACTGTTCTTTTTTTTTTTTTTTAAAGATTTTATTTATTTGTGAGAGAGAGAATGAGAGACAGAGAGCATGAGAAGTAGGTGGGTCAGAGGGAGAAGCAGACAAGCAGACTCCCCCCTGAGCAGGGAGCCCAATGCAGGACTCGATCCCGGGACTCCAGGATCATGACCTGAGCCGAAGGTAGTCGCTTAACCAACTGAGCCACCCACGCACCCTTTATGTTCTTTAAATCCAACTCCTACTAACATGTTCAGTTGATGTGATTTAATGAAATGATACTGTGCATTCAAATGTATTCACTACCAGAAATTTTAAGTTAAAAAAGAACATTATTCAGAATTATGAAATGGTGATAACATTAGAAATGCAAACTTAGTTAACATTCAAATCCAGAGAAATAGGATAGAAAACAGCCCCAAACAGACAGGATAGCATTATGGTCGAGGGTATGACTTCCACAAAATAGCTTGGATCAGTTTAGTGGCTCCATGGGTAACTAGTTATGTGACCTTGACTGAGTGACTGGGTCTTGCTGTCTCTCTACAAAATTCATCTATTAAATCAAGAAAACAGTGATATCTATCTCATGGTTTTTGTAAGAATTAGTTGAGTTAATGGCTATAAAATAGAGTATTGCCTGGCCTGTAGGCACCATGGAAGTGTTTATCACTATTATGATTATTATCAGTGTTTATTAGTATTCTAAATTATGGTAAACATTCTGTTTAGGCAGGGAAAAGCTAGCTAATGATTCAAGTCTTTTCCCTACTCAGTTTTATGATTCCATTGAAGAACCGCTCAGAGAATTTCTATTTTCAAGTAACGACTCAAACCGTCCCAAGACTTTTTTTAGCACATAAATTTGAACATAATGTGAACTATTTTTCTTCTTAATAAATGGTACATACAAAATAAATCCTTTGACTTAAAATTATCAACAACAATAATAATAACAAAAACAACAGCTAACCTTTATTTGGTGTTTAGGACCAATATTATACTAAACATTTTTCACAGCTGGTATGGAATGCTGTGAACAATGATAATTGTGATCCCTTAAAAGTTGAACTTAATCAAACATTCTAAATGTATTTCATTTAAAGATTTAATGATCATATAACCAATGCAAAGGTTTCTTATAACATTAGTCTTCTGTCTGAATCAGAGTATCTGGTGGTGTTTCTCCCCGTGCTTTCACTTCAGTTTGAAACGCTGCACTAAAACATACTAACTGAGTCAACTACAGCTACTTAATAGCTATATTATTAGAGTCCATTTCTCATCTTAGATGACTTTGAAACGCCTCTGAAATTTTTTTTTTCAAATCTTATTTTCACATTCTTTGAGAATTTCTACTCTTCGTATATCATAGCTAAGAAAATGAAAAATGTATTGAAAAGAATAGACAGGTGGTAAATAAAACTCAGATACCTTCGTATACACACATACACACACACATATACACACTGTTACATAACTCAGCTGTTTTAAATTTTTGTAGAACTGAAATATCCTGATGTGTGGCAACTATACTGAATTTGAGAAGCCTGTTGAGCTTATTGGTTTTTAGTGCAAAACAGAGTCATTAACAGGAAGGAAATATTAATCAATACAGCATAGAAAAATTAGTTATGAACTTAGAATAACTATGGAAACTAAATTTTGAACTTTATAGTATCTAGATACAGTTAGCATGGAATCTGAGAGTCCACTTCTTTCTTTAAACTTAGTTGAAAAACTAAAAATATTTTACCTTTTGAAATTATTAAAAGCAATGCAATGAAATTTCATTGATCAACTCCTCTGCGAAAAACACCTTACTGTGATATAAAAGATGAACGAGGTAAGTTTTCACTTTCAAGGATCCTTAATCATAATATGGAAAATATAACAACACAAATCGCAATATAAATTCAGTACTCTCTATCAAATTTTTACTATTTTACAATTTTTTCCCTTGCACCTGTGAAGCTTGTGACTGTTCCCATCTGGGAAATAATTGTGATCCCAAGACTGGTCAGTGCATTTGCCCTCCCAATACCATTGGAGAGAAATGTTCTAAATGTGCGCCTAGTACCTGGGACCACAGCATCACCACTGGTTGTAAGGTGAGTTAATTGCTTTATTTTATCTGATCATGCTTTAAGAATGTTTTTTTTTTTATTTTGTTAAAGCTTTCTAGCTGGAGAAATCAAAAGCCAATATTATATTATACATCAGTATAGAACTATCAGTGTAGATTGACTGGAGATACTGATCATTATCTTATATTTTACTTGTGGGAAATATGATGAAGTAAGTACACATTTATGTATCTTCATTCATGATACCTACAAAAACAGAGGAAAAATTATAATAAAACCAGAAACAGCAACAACTTCATACTGAAACCCAGTGAAATATCTGCAAAGTACAAGGAAATTAGGAACAAACTAAAGCAATTTGCCAAAAATCTACAGTAATTGCCCCAAATTATGAGTAGGTTTCAATTTTCAAGAAGCAGTTGAGAGGATTCTGTGGAGTTATATTAACAGCCTTTAGCTTGAAAGACTCCTCATTTTTCCCGTGGGACTACCATAGAAACTGGCGTGACCAGATTACATAATATATATTACATACATAGTAGCTATTGCAGTTATATTGGTGAGAGATCACAGAAGCGTGCACCCAGTCAGTGAGCCTCCACGAAGACAGAGGGAGTAGGCTGTTTTACTGCTGGAATGGCTTGGTAAACTCATAGATTTGAAGGCTAAGAAAGAGACGTCTTAAGGACGAGTCCTGGGTTTCGCTTTTCAGGAAATTACATGAGGGTATTATTCACTGCTAGAGGGATTATAGGAGACTCAAGTTCAGGTAGGAAAGGTGATGAGTTCAGGATTTTTGTCAGTGTTTTGTGAGATATTAATTAAATAAAATACAATTCACTCACTTAAAGCGATGAGTTTTGACCAGTGATTACAGTTGTGTAACCGGGCTTTTGGTCCCTTGTAGTCAACTTCCCCTCACCCCTCAATCAGCACCAGGAAACTACTATTTCTCCTTCTATCACCGTAGTTATGTTATTTCTACAAATTCATATAAATCGAGCCATACTGCATGTTGTCATTTGGGTTTTGTTTGTTTGTTTGTTTGGGGGATTATTTTTGGTCTGGCTTCCTGAGTATAATGCCTTTGTGATTCATGCATACTGTTGCATATTATCGGTAGCTTGTTACTTTTAATTGTTTAATAATTTTACATTAGCTGATATGCTATGACTGGTTTGTTTATTTACCATTTAATGGGCATTTGGGTCGTTTCCAGTGTGGGGCTATTATGAATAATTTTGCTATGAACACTAGCGTATAAGTCAAAAGCATAGGTAGAGATGTATGATTTCATTTCTCATCACAAGCATACTCCACATCCTTCCCAACACTTAGGACTCTGACAAATTTTAAGCATTCAGTTGGGTGTTTTTTTATATCTTTGCATTGCTTTAACGTCCAATGATACTGGGAATAATTTTATTTATTTACCATTGATGTATCTTCTTGGGTGAAGTGTCTATACAAATCTTTTCTATTTGGGGTTGTTAGTTTTCTCAGTAATGTGCTGTAAGTGTTCTTTATATATCCTAGATGCAAGTCTTTTAACATATATATGTTCTATAACTGTTTTCTCCCACTATACAGCTTGCATTTTATTCCCTCTCTAATATCGCCATCTAATTTTTATGAAGACTGTTTTTATTATCTTTTCCTTTCATGGCATCCTTTTTATTTTCTAAGAAATACATATTTGCTCAAGTCAAGACCTAAAGATACCTCTCCTATGTATTCTTCAAGAAGTTTTATAGTTTTGGCTTTTACATTTAGGTCCACATTCCATTTTCATTAATTTTTCTGTATGGTTTGAGGTAATGGTCAAATTCCATTTTTTAATGGATATCCAATTTGTCCAACATCATTTTTGAAAAGATTGTTCTTCTTCCCCATTGAATTACTTTGGTCAAAATAAAATGACCTTATATGTCCCTCATACATTTCTGAACTCTATTCTGTTTCGTTGATCTATGTCTATCCTTGGACTAACACAGTACTGTCTTGATCACTGCAGCTTTCTAGCATAGTGTAAAATCAGGTGGTGTAAACTGCAATTGCTTTTCATTTCCAATACCTTTTGGGTTCATTAGATCTTTTGCATTTCCATATAAATTTTTAAAGCAGCTTATCAATTTCTTTATTAAAAGCCTCCTAGAATTTGATTGGGATTACATTGAATCTACAGGTCAATTTGGGAAAAATCAACATTTTCAGAATATTGCATCTTCCAATGTATGAATATGACATAATTTTTAATTTAATTTTCTATAATTTTTTTTTCTCAGCAATGTTTTATACTTTTTGGTGTGCAAGTCTTGTACGTGTTCTGTTAAATTTATCATTATGTTTCATATTTTTTACAAAATGTTATTATTTGTTTCATTTCAATTTCCCATTGTTGCCAGCATAGAAAAATTCAATTATTTTTATATATTAATTTTCTATACTGCAAACTTGCTAAGCTTATTCTAGTTACTTTTTGGTAGATTCATTAGGATTTTCTATGTAGACAATCATACCATCTGCAAATTGAGTTTTACTTCTTCCCTTCCAATCCATGTAACTTTTATTTCATTTTCTTGACCTATTGGAGTAAAATGTTGACTTGCAGTGCTGGGAGCAAATATCCTTGCATTATTCCTTATGTGAAGTAGAAGGCATTCAGGCTTTTATAATTCAGAATTTTGTTAGCTGTATTTTATTTACAGATGCTCTTTATCAGTTTGAGGATGTTCCTCATGTTCTTGGGTCTATTAAGTACTTTTATCAAGAATATATGTCCAATATTGTCAAATGCATTTTCTACATCTATTGAGATGATCGTATGATTTTTCTTTTTCAGCTGTTAATATGGTAAATCATATTAATTCATTTTCAAATGTTGACCCAACTTTACAATCCTCAGATAAATCCTGCTTGATCATGAGGGATTATCTACTTTAAATTATTTTAGATTATGTTTGCTAGCATTTTGTTAATGATCTATGGTTCTCTGTTCATAGGAATATTGGTTCATAGTTTGGGGGTTTTTTGGTAGTTTTATTATCTAGCTTTGTTATTGGGGTATTGCTAGCCTCATGAAATAGATTGGGAAGTATTCCTTCCTCATAGTTTCTAAAGGAGTTTGCATAATCAATGAAAAACAATGAATACAAAAATACTTTAGAAAAAGACAATGAGGCCAAAAAAATGGTTCTTTGAAATTATTAATAAAGTTGGTAATACTCTAAGAAGATTGATCAAGAAAATAAGAAGAGAGGAAAGAAATAATCAAAATCAGAAATAAAGGACGGGACATCATGGGGATCCTGCATATGTTAAAAGAATAATATGAAAATAATATAAGCAGCTTTAATCAATGAATTTGATAACAAAAAATAACAATTCCTTCAGTTTGTTTACTTTGAGTTTAATTTTCTCTTTTGTTCCAAGTTTCTTAAGATGAAAGCTTAGATCATTGACTTGAGATTGCTCTTCTTTATTAATATAAGCATTTCATGTTATAAATATCCTTCCAGGCACTAATTTAGTTGCATCGCACACATTTTGATATGTTGTTTAACTTTTCATCGTTAAAATCTTCTTATTTATTTTATTATTTATTTGTGATACATTGATTATTTAGAAGTATATTGTATCTTTCTGTTATATCTGTATTATAATACATATAACATTTTGTATTGTTTCAGTTCTTTTGAATTTACATATTTGTTTTATGTCTCATAATAGTGTCCATGTCGATTAATGTACTAGCAAACAATGCATATTCTGGTATCATTGGATGAAATCTTCTATAAAAGTCAGTTATCCCTAATGATTTTTACACATACGTATTCTATCAATAACTGAGGGTGTTTATACTTATGATTAGTCTATTTTTTTCTTTCAGTTCTCTCAGGTTTTGATTCATGTATTTTGGATAGATAATACTAGGTGTATACTCACTTAGGATTATTATGTCTTTTTGAAAAGTTGATGCCTTTATTAATACGAAATGTCCCTCTTTATCCTGGGTAATGTTTCTTCTTCTGAAGAAAATTTTTTCTGATAATCATATAGCCATGGTTCGATCTTTCTTTTGATTGCTATTTGTCTGGTTTACATTTTTCCACACCATCATTAATTCCATCTCTTTTTAAATATTTTAATATGTTTCTTTTAGATAGAGTATATTTAAATCCTTGTTGTTGCTCTGATCTTAATTGAATTATTTAACACATTTCCATTTAATGTAATTATCAGTATGATTGTGTTAAGTCCACATTTTGCTGCTTGCTTTGCCTTATCTGCTCTTGCCTTCTTTTTTCTTCTTTTCTTGTCTTATTTTGGATTGAGTAATTTTTATAATTATATTTTATCTTCACATTTGACTTATTAACTATACCTAATTTATTTTTTTTGTCTTTGTCTAGGGATGTACATCTTAACTTTCCATAATGTATCGTAAAATAATAGTATACACTTTATATTAAGCATAGAGACCTTATAAGAGTAGACCTCTAATTCCCTTTTTATCCTTTGTCACTCCCTTTCTTGTCCTTTATGTTATTGTTGTCATACATTTTACTTCTGTATATTATATATCCTACAATATAATCTTATGATTTTGATTTAAATAGTCAGTTATTTTAAATAAATAGCCAGTTTAAACCAGGCAAAAATGCTGCTTTTCTGTTTTTCCACACATGTATCAATTCCTGTGCTCTTCATTCCTTTGTGTACAAATTTCTGTTTCATATCTTGTTTCTTTTTCCATTAGATACATCGCTAATTATTACTATTGTTATTTCTAGTATTTCAGGTCTACTGACAATGATTCTTTCAGTTTTTTATGTTCAAAAACAGTATTTTTCCATCAGTTTTCAAAGATATTTTTTCTAGGTATAAAATCCTAAATCCTGATTTTTAACAATTTGATTATGCCATCTTTTTATGGTTTTCTTGTTTATTTCTCATGTGGTGAGTTAGACCTTTTGGATCTGTGGGATCACAGTTTTTATTAAATTTGGAAAATTTCCAGCCAC